AACGTAGCGGATTTCAATCGATGCTGCTAGAGGTAAATGACTTGTGCACTACGAACACAGACGTGTTGCTTAGCCTTAAAATAGGCGAAACTTCATGCTCCTCGCCACGAGCAGTTTCGCCAAGTGTTTCCGGGTGTTCTGCTGGCCTTGGTCGTGTCTCTGACAGGCTTTCGCTTTCCTCGCCGGCAGTTGGGTCGAGTTTAGACGTCACTGCACTTCGAACTTTCTTGACCGGATTCGTCATGGCCGCCGCGTCGCCACCGACACCTCGTCGTTTTCCTTTCTCTTTTCGACCTCGATGTCTTAGATCGGCGCAGCAGTTGATGGATGAGGCGCCCCGTTTCGCGCCGACGTTGCCGTCCAGCATTGTAGCCGCCATGTTCACAAGTGGTTGTAAATTTCGTAACTTGGAAAATCTGCCGACGACTGTTTCGGATTATGCTTCACAAAATAACCACTTAAAAACTGAGCTCAGTCGCCGTCGCTATTATGTTCCTGAGCCACCTACTTGGCGCCTCGTCAGACATTGATATCCCATCTGTGTTGTCGATCCAATCCGCGATTCGGGCTTCTTCGAACGACAGCACGTGTCAGGAAAGAAAAGTGCGTTCAAGCCTATAAAGCGAAGACCGGCACAGGATAGCGGCTCGGCGCAACGACCGAAGTGTCGTGTTGCCGTAAGAGTGGCGTCTTCGCGCTGCATTCACCGCAGCTCGCGTAGAACCCTGTGTCTTTGAATCAATACTGTCCTCAATCCGCATCACTGTTGTCAGTCGTTCTTGCGGCTGTGCAGCTCTACAGATCTAAAGTCAAGCCGTTCATCGATTTCGTCGTCTTCGGTTCGTCTTCTTATCATTCATCTGGTCGGTCAGTGAGGCAGAGTAACGCAGTTTCGAGACTATACCTGACCGGCCTTCGTCATCGAGCCTCTCAACTCTGGCGCGTTTTCTGCTCGATACATGTTTATTGCTTCATAATGCTAGGACAAATCGGCGAAACGTTTTTAGGCCTAACATCGTTCGAGTTATTGCTTTAGCGTAGTTAGTATGTGAACCTTATTTGCAGAGTTCCTTTTTAAGAAGCGGACAGAACGAAATGCCATGCAAAAATTATGAAAGGTTAGAAAGTTTCTGTAGCAAACGATCACAAGTTACAGATTGTTCACTTCCTAAATCAACTGATAACTCGTTTGCAAAGTTGAAACTTTGCTGCCGTCCTCTGCTACTGTTGTCATATCTTGCTGGTGGGTTTCTAGAAGGCTCTAATTTGCCCGCTAGTTGTATGATTAAAACGTGTGCTTTTGTTTTTTTCCACTGTCTCCTTTCGAAACGGCGCAGCCATCTTCTTTTCTAGGTCATGCTTGCGTTTTCGGCATTGCGATGAACTTGAGTTCTTCAAGGTCATTCCTCTGATGACAGCACTGAACCTGGCCCTAGTCTGAATCAGTTATGCCAGTGTAGACCACAGTCGTTGTCCGCAGTTTTCTCTATGACTGCCGTCAACCACTACTTTTCATGACATCCTTTTTTCGGTGACAACGTTCGGTACCATGTTCGTCGTTGTTAAAACCGTTCTTAATAAATAAGTGACAGTGTTCAGTGGAGGAAGTTCAGTTTTCGAACGATAGGGAACGACTGGCGCAGATAGAACTTTTCTCGACTTCGCGAAACCTCATCTTATTAATAAAATTAATTAATTAATTCGCGTCGAGATGTCGCAGGAACACAAGCCACTCCAGTCCGCTTAGCGGTACACGTTGTAGGGGGCAGCAGTAAACGCTGGTTACATGACCATGGTCGCAAGTTTGTCGAATACGACCGGAGTAAGTCGACGAGAGGCGACGTGACTCGAGAAAAAACGTAGTTTATCCGTTTTCGAGAACTAGCTGATCGCATTGACCAAACTGAAGTCTGTGGCGCTGGGCTCGTTTCGTCTCACTTTGTCAGCGACTGCAATCTGCAGATATGTCGCGTATCTTTTCTTGGCTATCCTTCTGGTCGCCAAACGTGATTTTCCTCATGAGGATTACGCGCTCGGACGCTGCGAAGCGTTGAAGTGCGGCGGATGCGCTGGCGGCAGCTGTCTCCCTCCCAGCGACCCATCGAACGCTTGCCGTAGCGCCGACTCACGGTTGCGGTCAACTCTCCCCTCGACGCCTCCCATACGTCGTGCTCTGGCGGACATTCCCATCGACCGACCAGCCTTCTGTTCATTCATCAACTGGACATCGGCTATCACGGCTATCACGGCTTCACGGCTGTGTCGGTGATGCCGTGGTTTTCGGCCGCCAGACATAGTCTAATTGCTGATTGTCGTTCTGCGACTCTCACTCGACACTGCCTTCGCGGATCGTATCGATCCCGCCACTTTTTTGCAGCTTGCCGAAGGCTCTGCAACGGGCGCTGAGAAGAACCAGTCGGCGCCATCGGCCGAGTGCTTGTCGCCCTGTCGACGAGATCGAAGTTGAGTAAGGTTTCTTCAGTTTTGAACGCATGTTTGCCTCCCGGATGCGTTTCAAAGTCTCCCGTCTTGCATGCGCGGCAGCTTCTGCCGCGTTTGCCTCGATTTCCTCTTTCGTATCATCGTGGGTGCTCCCGAGGCGTAGCGTC